CCCGGTCCCTTTCCAACCAGGCTGGCAGAAACAGGTTGTTTGACGTTGAGCTGCTCTACCACGAAAAAGGAAAGACATAAGGCAATAAATTGATAAACTAAGTGTTCAATTCGGTTTAACTGCTCAACACTTTTTAGTGTGGAACTGAAATACTTGCAAGTGTGCAACTACAAGTTGCAAGAACCACCATCTGGGATTTCAAATTTTTCCCTTGAGGCGCGGTAAGCTTTGGAACAGCCGCGTGTGGCGTCGGTACCCGTACGGAAAATTGCTCCGGCCCTCCAAACACCTGCTTTGAATATTTTGCAATATTTTACAATATTTTATAATTTTCAAAAAAGTATAATTAAAACATATTTTTAAAAATTATAAAATAATTTGGGAGGACCCTCCAGAAGTTCCCCATTTAAGTCGACACGGATAAATTAGCGGTGCAGCGAAATCACTAAGGTAAACACGCGAGAATCAATTATTTAGCCATGGCAATTCAGCAAAAATGTAACTATGAAGCTAAAATAAGCCATGCTGCTACAATTTAACAATGCAGCTAACATTTAGCTAATGGTGGCACTTATATAGAAGGAGATGACCTACCGCGCCGAGGTTGGGCTTCCTGACGACGCACGGCAGCGTAGCGGTGGCGGCCGTCTGGGCCACGATGACGGTGCCGTTGGGGGTGGCGAAGTGCGCGCGGATGGTCTCGATGGAGGGCGGCGGGAACTCGGGCAGAGGCACCTCGTTCCCCGGCGTCCACGACGCCACCTTCTTCTTGCTCCCCTTGGCGGTGCTGGCCCGCGCCACCGGGGGGTCCGGGGCGCCCGCCGCCACCAGGGTCCGCAGGCTGCCGACCAGGGCGCGGGCCATGACGCCGTCCTCGCTCACGTACTCGATCACGTCCAGGTCTGTCGGCAGAAACGGAAAGGGGTAATCAACATCAAGTACGGGACACTTCTGACAGTATGATGAGAGTTTCGATCGAGGTTTTCGACTGATCGGTAATCTTATCGCAACGATATCACAATTTGCTGTCAGTCGGTGGAGCTCCTAGCTTCGATTTTGTTGTCCTTTCTGGCGAGTGAAATGTACTCTGTAAAATCTAAGGAGATCATAAATTTTTCCTTCCTATCAATAGGAACCATATATGGTGAGCAACTGCTCTACTTTTCGGAAATGTCGAAAGTTCAAACACCAATTGACGTTTAACCGAGTTAGACACCACGCAATGTTGTCGAGAAAATTCACACTTGAACTAAAACACCAATTGACGTGCAACATCAAACACTTGTTTTACCAGTGTCGGTTCCATGTCGCCCTTGTCTGTTTCTTGTCAATGTGTGCTTGGTGTCTGCGCCCTCCACCATATACAGTGGTACTGCATGCAGTGGGATCCTGGAAGCCAAAGGAAACCGTGTGGGCGCGCAACCGCTGCAGCCGGGGTTGGACGGCGCGGGCGGGGCGTGGCGGGGCGTGGCGGGGCGTGGCGGGGCGTGGCGGGGCGTGGGG